GCTTAAGCGTCAAAAGTGGTGGGATCAAGAAGCTTCCACCGGAGCAAGGAAGAAGCATCAAGAGTTGATGACAACAAGATGGATCGCTGATTCTATGAGTCCTTTCAAGACTGTTGAAACAGACTCATTCCGTGATATGATTCAGTCGTACGATTTGACTGCCAAGCCTATGTCCAACAAGAAAGTCAAAAGCATCAGGATCAACTTGGAAGATGCAATGAGAGATGCTGCCATTGAAACTATGACGGGTCTTTCTGTGAACTTTACTCTTGATCACTGGACTTCGAAGCGCAATGAGAACTACACTGGTGTTACTGCTCACTTCATTGACAATGATTTTAAGTTGCACAATGTCGACCTCGCATCTTCTTGCATGAGGGTGGTACTACAGCAGAAGAGCTTGAGAAGTCGTTCCTTGAGTTGAGCATTGAAAAGCTCAATCTTGGTGTAGCTAAGGTATTTGCCGGTACCACTGATACGACTGGAAACAGCCTTGGAATGAAGTGGGAAAGAAACCAGAACATTGCTCATGTCTACTGCACGGATCATGTGCTTCAGCTCACTTGCAAGCTCTGCTACAATGACAAAACAAAAAAGCTGTGGATGCTTTTGGTGAAGAATTTGTTGGTTGTGTCAACAAGGCTAGGGCTATTGTGAAATTCGTCAACAATTCTAGTCAAGCTGGATGCAAAATGAGGTCAGATATGCTACTTTGGGTTATCTGGAAGGATGTGCTGCAGTGACCAAACATGAACTAACTCCTTATACATATAGATGAACTTTCTGGATGGTGGTACTAGTGCCAGTGCGTGTTGGTATGGTTCTATAGCACCATCGGGCCTGAAAACAACCTATAAGTATATAAGATTTAACAATGCTCACTTGAGCAAGCTAGCAGCGTAGTACATTACTTCTGGCAGACAATGGAAGCAAAACATTACTCAATGATTACTAATTGTTTATATTCATTGGACTATTTTATTTATCAATTGTGGCCAAGGTCAGTAACCTATTGTTGAGCCTTCAAGTCGAGGATTCCCTTCTTTTAAACTTGCACAGTGGTATAGTCCTGACTTCCTATTCTCCTCATTTCTGCTATCATCCATGAAATCATCATCTGTAGTATTTGTCAGCCTCCTCAACTGCTTCACTCCTCATTGTCCTCATTGTCAGCCTTTTCGACGGCTTCTTTGTAATCAATACGATCCTGCCAATTCTTCCAATTCTTAGCAACAAACAGAGTCTTTCCGGCCATTTCTGGATTCAAGGTAGTGCGCTTGTTGGAGATGAGTCTGGAAGCAGCACTGAAAATCCTTTCAGAGGGTGCAGATGTGGCCTGCACAGAAAGGTAAATCTTGGCCAAAGATGCTAGGATAGGATAGAGAGATTGATTCTTCTTCCGCCAGCCAAGTGGATCATTGTAGGTCTTGTCGTGCTTGCTCTTTCGAATTGGAAGTGAACTTGCTTCAATGTAACGCTTGAGCTCATCCTTGCATGTCTTCTCAATTGAATCATCGCTCGCACTTGCTTGTTTGCCAACTTCCACAGCAGCAACTTGCTGCTCAAAAACTTCTAGAGGATCTTCATCATCGCTGCTGTTGTCTTCATCGTCGTCATTGGCTTGCTTTTCTTCTTCCATTTCAACATCATCACCAGCTGAAGCAGCACCACGACCAAGAGCATCGCGCTTTTCAATTTCTGACATCTTCATGATTTCAAGAACTCTCTCACGAATTGCTACCTTGGATCCCTCATCAGGAATAGAAATCAGAGACTTGAATCTTGGATCAAGTAAAGTGACAATAAGGAGAGCAGGATGGATTCCAGTTTGCCTATTGCGTTCACCACGTTGAACTTCAGAATTGAAGACGGGTAATAGTCTGATTGCACTCTATTGTAGTGCACCAATACTGTAAAAAACGCTAACAGAAACGCTAACAAAAACGCTAATAAAACGCTAACAAAAACGCTGAGCTCATAGTAATAAAAAACGCTAAAAAACGCATAATAGCAATCGCTAAGGGGACCTGTTAGCGTTTAAACGCTACGCTTGACCCTAGCGTTTGCGGTTCCATCCTCTAACTTCTTGGTCTTCTCAGGAAAATCGACTTTTAGACCTGAGTGAGCTGTCATTACATTTCGGGATTCCTATGCAGAGTCAGATTCTCAAAGACCGTTCCTTTGACTTTCCTCTAAGACTTCAAACGGCTCATGTCTCTGACCCATGCATAAGTTCTCTAGTTACTGACCACCAATCTCAAAAGCGGTCACAATTAAGGTCGTGGTGTTTCAGTGCCCCTGGACTTTCCATGCTTTGCTGATTTGGTTGGCTGATCCTCGGCCATCATCTGACAGAAGCAGTCTCCATCCACACTTTCTGGCAACGGTAGTCTGGTAGTTGCGAATCCAATGGCGTGTTGATGGCAAATAGCCGCGACAATGGCTGCTGATTGATTCGATTCCTTCCTACAGGCAACACCAAAGTAGTCTTTAGACTGTACGACTGTACATCGTACGACTGTACCACCAGTCAAGAAAGGTACATGTACAAAGCACTATCTAAAGGTCTAACGGTAGCTCGTCCCGGTAGTACTGGTACCAGCAGCTAGGTTGCTCGGCCCAAGACCTGTTCAAAGGAAACATGATGATCGTATTGTCTGCACAGCTAAGAAAGGAGAGCGAAACTATCCTCAGAGACTAGCTAGTGCTATGCATTTTTTGGTGGGGAGGCTACTATGCTGATCGTAATCATGCCTGGCTGCATACCACATAGACATACTTATTCCTCTGTCTTTGATAACGTTTTGTGGGTTGGTTCTAGTGTGGGTGGTACAGTAGCGAATCGTACGGTAGTTTTTGGGCATTGGCCGGGTCCGAACCCTGGCAGTGTATCTTGTCGTTCGGAAAGACGCGTGCGTCGTATGGTAGCTATGAAAAACATTTGTGCAAGTGACGTGCTCGGCTACAACACGCAAGCTCCGCAATACGTTTCGTCTAGCTTTACTGCATGAGCTCTGTATGTCATACTTTCGACTTGCCTGGTGCCATCATTGCTTTGCCGGCTGTGTATGTTGCTTCCGGGTCATCCCGATTCAATTCGGAGGAAGTGGACGCCAGGTCAGCAACTCCTCTGTATCCAGGACTCTCCCCACCGGCAGCATATCTACCGTAGCTAGGCTAGCTACTAGTGGCTGCACTAGTCGTTTAGATCTAGAAATTCGAGGACGTTCTTTCTCCATTGCCGTGGTTGTTCCATGGGTGCAGCATGGCCACAGTCGGGCAAGACAGTTGGAGGATCCCATTGTAGCATTTCACAAAGAGCCTCGACTTGAGCCACTGGTGCCATGGCCTGATCCATGCTTCCCACACAGGCACGACCATTAATTTTCCCCAAAGGAAATCGACTCGCCATGGAGGTGGTAGACCACTCGTCGTCGTCATCTTTGGCATGACATTGCTCCAACAGAGCCAGCAATCCTTCCCGTGTATTTTGCTCGGCCACAAAGTCTAGAATGGTGTAAAAATAATCCGGATTGTCGGTCCAGTACTGGATCGTCTTGGACGAATAGGTGGTCAACAAGACGGACCACGCAAACGACCGTAGAGTGTCGCCATTCCGAACATGATCTTTCCACGATGCCACAGTCAAGTGCCCCAGTGGCGATCGATCGGCTGATACCCCCGTAATGTGCACCTTGCGAATCCGTTCGGGAAACAAAATACAAGTGGCAAGAGCAATCCGACCACCCAAGGAGAATCCCACAAGATCCACTCGTTGTTGGTGTCGTTGCGACTTGTCCAATATCTCGTCCAAAGTTTCCATTAGCATGTTGGCTTGCGCCGGCAACGAGACATCTTTGAAGGATTCAACCGATCTCTCCTTTGTTGGTGGAGGTCCTTGTCCTCGTGCTTCGTAGAGAAGTACATCCCTCGATTGCGACAAGGACGGAATTTGAGCTTCCCACGATGGAATGCTCTGAGCCATGCCGCCAATAATCACCATTGGAGGGAATGATGAGGGCTTGGAAGCGGGGGCGAACAGACAACGTTGTCCGGCTGCATATTGTATCGTTAGGGCACCGGAAAGATCGATCAGGAGAAACAATAATAATAACGATGAACCACTGCAAATTAAGCTGCCAGGACGAAGAAGTAGCATCGAGATTGCTTGCATGGAAGCATTATTTGTTGATAGCTACTGGTGGCACTGGTGTGTGCGGTGCAGTGTGCCGTAAGAGCATCTTCTACCGTACCATCAGATTTGGTTTAGATTGGGTCATTTGAACACAATCTAAACCAAATTTGATCATATCTTGTTTCTATCATTGCTGTTTAGATTCCGTTTGGATCAAATTCAAACGAAAACGATATTTTTGTTTAGATCAAGCCAATCAAAACGAACAATTGCTCTCGTTTTGATTTTGTCATGACCCCATTAACCAGTGAAGATTTAAGAAAAATCGTCCTGAGAACATGTACCGAATGAGTCCAGTGAGTCAATCAAAACAAAAAATAGACAAAATGACTTGGGAAACTGATAGAGACTGCTTTTTCAGTGCCCTGTAAATATCAAAACGGAAAATGTTCATAGATATCTAAACGAGCGGTAGAAAATGCTCTAAGAGCTGTTGTATTGTCATTTCGTGACGAAGTTCCAAAGGAGGAAAAGTGCGTCCCAACAAAATCTTAAGTCACGAGTTCTTCAACAGAGCAGGCTTAATAGCTGTTCTTAATTAAAATAGGAAGGGGGAGCAAGCGAAAAATGCTTTGAACTTTCCAAAGGGGAACGTATCAATAATTTTTATTCCCGAATTGGTGTGAAGGGCTTTGGTAAGAGTCTTGCTGTCATATTTTCATTTATGAGTCAAGTACTTTGAGTCAAGCACTCAGCAATCCGAACCGGAGCGGAAATAAAGGATAAATTGTTGTTAATTCTGAGTTCGTAGAATCCCTAAACACTTGATAAGATGCTTGCAGGAAGCTTTCGTAAGAGTCTTGGTGCTATATTCAGGAAACAATACATGTAGTACTAGTACACCGTACACCGTACATGTGTATGTACCGTACATGTACCAGTACCGGTATGTACACGAGTACGGTGTGTACGTTGTACTGCACAGTGGTCTTTGTCAAGAAGTCTCATTTATTCCTTTTTTCGGACGTGGCACAGAGTGAGAGTCTGGCTCTTTTGGCACCGGTACAGCGGTACAGCGGTACAGGTAGTGGCACAGTACAAAAACCCGGTCGCTACGCTGAGTTTTTTTAGGAGACCACAACGATCACCGTTGGGTGAACTGGCGGCGCGCATTGCCATTGCAATCACACACTTTCGAGAGCAATAATGGGTGGCATTCGCGCACAATTCCAGAGCCTAGTCTACTATTGGTGCTAGTAGCAAGTATCTCTCTGTTGCCTGCCATTTTTCATTTTCCTTCCCTGGCCGACTCCCTCAGGCCTTCTCCCCACAACAACAGCAAGAAGACAAAAGCAAGAAGATGCAGACAACAAAGGATCTCAACAAGCCCGAGCCCCGTGAGGTTCCAGTGCGGTTGTCGTTTCTACTGCTCCTGTTCGTTGGCGTCCTCGTATCTACAACCGTCCGCCAAGAGCTGATTCAATTCCAGCGATATGAAGCCGCATACACCCTGAGCCGTTCTTCCAATGGCACCGTCAGCAGCGTCTCCGTGACCTTTCATGAGGTTGGTAAATCGGATTCCGTGGTGGTGGGAACCGCAGCGTCAGCGGCGGCACAACCGTCCAGATCCCTCCATGATGAGGAAGCACCCAAGCAAGAGCCGGCGGCCCCACCACAGGAAAACGCAGAAGAAGTGACCCCACAGGAGTCTGCCGACAAGAAATGGACCATCGTCGTAGACGACAGTAAGGCAGAAACTTCTAGTGAGTCTTCCCCTGGCAAGAATATTGAACAACTCAAGCAAGAAGCAGCAACCCCAGAACAGCCAGAACAGCTCAAGCAAGACACCACTTTAACCATCGAGAAGACGTCTCTAGGGGGGACAAATACGGCTGTGGAAGCAACACCAGCAGTCCCCCAAGAAGAAGCTGGTAGCGGTGGAAACAAAACCCTCGTCATCATCATGGGCAGTCTCCGAGGTGGTGAACATGCCTGGCAGTCTTTGTATCAAAATCTTTTGGATATCAACCATGCCGACTTGGCTCTGGCCGTTGGAAAGAAACCTGAAGAGGAGAAAACTAGCAGTCTCTACCAGCGTGCAAAGTATCTTTGGGAGTTTGATGAATATGAGGACTGGGGTGATGCCTTGGACTTGATTGCCAAGAAAGCAACCCTGATGTTGACACTAGGACTGACCCAAACTCTTGGCGCAACATACTGCTACCCTACTTTCCTGAAATCTTTGGTGGTGTGGGAGACCTGGCAGGAAGTGGGGCCATTATCTTTTGGATCCGATGGTTTGTTCAGCACAAGCTCAAAGAGCTTTCATTGCTGGACAAGTATGATCGATTCATTGTAACCCGTTCTGACTTCTACTACTTGTGCGAGCATGACCTATCCAGCTTCAACACAACAGAAGTTTTTGTCCCCAAGGGTGAAGACTATGGTGGTATCACGGATAGGTTTGTAATAGCTCCTGCCGACAAGATTCTTACAGTCCTGGATATTCTACCTCCAATGATCAACAAACCTCAAAGACACAAGAACAAACTGCCAAAGTTGGAAATCCAACAACTCACCACATGTCCAGAAATGGTGATTATGTGGCGCTGGCAGCAAGATGGCATTTTTGCCAAGAGATATAGCCGGAAAATGTTCACTGTGAAGGCACCAGGGGATCAGACTCGCTGGAGCGTTGGGAGCACCAAAAGAGGACAAGTGATGAAGGGACCTCATGGCTTGGTTTTGAAGTATCCTCACGAGTATCAGCAATCTCAAAAGACGTGTGGCGTGCAGGGAAAGAAGAAGATGTAAAGCATGAATCGAATCAACTTTCAGCAGGGCTAATTCTACATATAGCTGCGTTCACATTCAACCTACAGTATTCTACGAGGTAGTCGAATAAGCACCAGCTAGGTTGTCAGCCAGTTGTCCGCTGCTCGTGTGAATTGCCAATCTTTCGGGCGTCAGGGTCAACACTTTAGCAACTTTAATAATAGAGTTCGTCAGAAGACTCCTAGCTATCATAGCTGGCACACACCATACAAACTTTGCGATCTCGGACAAGATAGTGACGATATAACCATTCCCAAAAGATTGCTGGTCACTACTACATACACTCTATCAAAGGGTGTACCAGTGAGGAACAATCCAACTCCTGACGTACCGGTACCGTCGATTGAATCATTCGAGTCGTGGATCAGTAGAATCCTAATTCATTTTTGGGAGCGTTTTCAAAAATTCATTAGAGCTCTTTTTTGACCTCTAATGCATTTTTGAAAACGCTCCCAAAAATTAATTAGGATTCGATTGAGCCAGGACTCGAATCGTCATTCACTCATTCACTCCAAGGAAGATCCGTGCAGAACAAGGAACACAACAGAAACCGTGTACTGTACTGTATCGTACGGTTCTGCCGAAAAGGAAAATGCCAGGGCTGCCGCGAAGGCGGCAAGGATCCAACAACAGTTAGTTATGAGTATTGTATTGTGGCGTGGAGGAATGCATGATTGTGGGATGAGGATGATCGATGGATTATTATTTGTTGGCATCTAGCTAGCATACATACATTATGAGTTTTTATAGAAGCCCTTTCAGTGCTTGCCTTCGTGCCTTCGTTGCAACACTCGTTTCTTTTTATGGCGGGGGAATATCCTCAGGGTACTTTCCGTACCTCGGTTCTGGAACCGGAAGAAGAAAGGATGGCCGCGTCTCGACGGCAACCATACAGAAAAGATTCACAGAAATCCCCTTCGTCGCGCTCTTCGACTTCGACCTCGACCTCGTGTGTCCCTAACGGTACGGACGTTTTCAGGTCTTCTTCCGAACCCGACGTGACAACAGTAACTGTCGCCGCGGCGGCTGCAGTCTGTCGACGAAATACTTCCGTAAACCGTCGGCGAGTGTTCAGAGTGTCCAAAGCTTCCATCTGATTGGGACTGAGCGCGCGAAGAGAGGTATGTTCCTTCTTTGCAAATCTAATCAGTCTTTTCGCAAGCTTATCAGTAGAATTGCAGTTTCCTCTCCCAAGAACAAGATCCCAGACGGCCATCTTGATAATTGCTTGGTCTTCCCGGAAACACAGCGCACTGAGGTCGTGCCAGTTGCGTTGGTTGCCAATGACGAGCAAGATTCCAGTCTAGCGGATCTCCTTTTGCTGTGCGGCCATTCGAATGGATTCCTTGTCTTTGCGCCGTTTCTCGGCCCTAGCAGCACTGCGTCGATTTTCTTCCTCCCAATCCACACTATCTGCGAAGTGAACCTGTTTGATCATAATTTTCATTTCAGGAGAGCAGGCGCCATTGTCATGGTTGGTTTGGTTTCCATGGGTGCTGTGGCGGTGCAATCGTCCGCAAGCCAACACGATCTGTCAGAACCGGATGCTCCCGCGGGTGTGTTAGAGGATTCAATAATGGGGAAGCTGCAAGTCCCACTCATACTCCAACAACACTGTAGGAACTCTGGTTCCAACGCAAGCACCGAGTGAGCCCCTTTGATTCCACACTTGCACCAACCATGATGCCAAGTGTGACGGCAGTCACTTCTGAGCCACTGCCAGGATGCAGCTTTGCCATTTGGAAGGGTCTGGAGCACTAGCTAGTAGGCAGCCAAACAACCTCATCTGTCGTCTATGCTGTCAACAAATAAAGTTATGTTGCTTCCTGTTATGCAGACCCCGAGGGCAGACTTAAAACCGACCCTCCGCTGCTTCTAGTAGTCAATGATTGTGCTGAGATTGAAACTTTTTTCATGCGTCCGCTAGCTGGTTGAGCTACTGCGATTCACTAGTACAGTTCGTCACGTTGGGAGAGGCAGTCGCTTCGATGAATCCGATCTACTCCAATGCCGACCAGCTCGTTCCAGTAAATGGCTGGCATCCCCCGGTGGCGGGTACGCCTGTGTCAGCGACGTGAGGAGCTCATCGACGTTTTCGGGGGTAATATCTCCGACGTACACTGTTGCCGCCAGACGCATTTGCCCTTGTGGGCGATAATCGCAGGCTGCAGTCGCATGAAGGGCATCATCGCCTACCATGGAAGCAGCGTTGATTCGATACTTATAGAAGTGTTGAGTGGCGTCCTCCTCCTCCTCATCTCCCAAAATTTCAAGTTCTGGGTCCGCGTCGCTTTCTAGCATTAGAGGAATGATAATATTAAAGGCCTTTCTGCCGGAACCACTCACGTCTGCGTGAACGTACCCCTTCTCGCAATGCGAGACTCCAATAAAAGATAAATGGTAGGCGCTGAGTGCCTCCAACTCAAAGTAGTTTCCGACAGCTTCCAAAACTTGGTCGAATCCACCAGCTCCAAGGACTCTTAGGTAGTCGTCGTGCGCTGACTCCATGGCCGGAGACACCCAGTGCATATTCGAGCACCAATGGGACTTGGGACGTTGCACCATCCACTGGTGAGAATCCTCACCAAATTCCATGACGCGCTCTCCACCTGCAGCCAGAGGGTTGCCGTCAATCACGAGATCTCGATAAAAACCAGTAATTCCCATGTGATTGGCGTACGATAGTAGCTCTGGCACCAGTTCCAGTGGCATTCCAAGCCGAAAGCAGTTCCTTGACAGATTCTTGCCCTGCCAAGTCATTGGAAGGATTTCTCCAGGTTTAGGAACGTCTGCTGCATCGTCGATACCAAGATGAGTGTCAGGCATCTTTGTGCCAAGTCCATCCAGGTATGAGGTTGACGCATGGAACATTGGGAGTTGAAGCGACAGCCGCTGGATAAAATGCATGGGTCTTGCACCTGCTCTGAGCATAAACCAAAAGTATGCACACCCACTGACTGTTCCAGGGTATTATTATCCTCTGCATTGCTGCCCCCTTTGATGGAGTTGGCTGTTCTTGTGCTTTTCGCTAGCTGCGAGTACTAGCTAGCTAGTAGTACTGACACTGTTAGAATGTTGGAACCACAAAGAAGTGCGTAACATGGGATGCTGGGAGGCTTCTCGAAATGCAGTTGGTTGGTTGGTGGTGCACGGATCGGCGTTTTGACCGCACTCTTCTTCTCTGACAAACACAGACTGTCACGCACCTTGGACGGATGTGCTGTTGTATGCATCTGTCAACGATCACCCAACATGGCTGGCTGAGGACGAAAATGTGAGGGGCGCCACCAATGGCAAAAAATGAAAAACACTGGGTCATTGAAGAACACACCTTTCGTGAACCTTGCCGTGCACTACGTACTACAGTACTGTAGGCACTTCCGTTTGGAATGGTCAAGACCACTTGCAAGTACTGTAGGCAACCAAACAACCTTAGCAACCTTATCTGTCGTCAATGGCTGTCGACAATAAACTGACACGCTGAATTAGAATGCATTCTGCATGCATGAATTAAGTGTGCCTCTGTTTGCATGTGGGAGGAGGGCTCTATTTTAAAACATTATGTATTTGCATTCGCACTAAAGCAGCCATTTTTCTGCGGTGTCCTCTTCTAAATAAGACTATCTTCACCAATTTGCTCAATAAAGCCTCCCCATCGAACCGACGAGTCTGCTTTCTTGACAGACAGTTGAACGACCGGTATCATGCCAGGTCCGTCCTCTGTCACAAAAGTTGCCGAATCCCGGTTCCTTCAGAATGCAACTCCAAACGGGTCGACCAAAGGCGGAAATGGTAGCGCTGGTGGTGGCAAAGACCACGGCTAAGCAGGCGGCAGGTTGTCCTCGTAGTCCTGGAATCGTAAGTGTCACGTCCAAGCTATCACCATTTTCCGTCCAACTGCAACCGTCGTCTTGGACGGTCGGGATGCGTGATAAGACAAATCTCTCCCCTTCAAGTGAGGGGACAGTATCCAAGGGATCCATCTCTTGTTACCCTTGAACAACTGATGAAGGAAGCAGAGGATCTCTCTCAACCAACCTTGAAACCCAAGTCAATTCTAAGAGGCTTGGAACCCAGTCCTAGTACTGGAAACAACAAGGCAACATTTGCTAAGGTTACACCTGATGTTAAGGTATATGATCCTGGCAAGCCAGCTGCCACAAGAGAGATTGGTGAGCTGGGTTTGGTTGAAGAATGGATTGATCAAGGTAACAGCATTGATCCACTTGATGTGGACAGTTTTGCCTTACCTATGCTTTATGACAGAAGATGGGAAGAAAGGGGACTCAGTGTTCTCTCAAGGTACAAGAAGAGAAAAGGCTTTGTCTCAGCAGAGAAGCTTGCTAAGAACTGGGGCATTGGCTTAGAAGCAGCTAAGAGAACCATTGAAGCTACAACTCAAAGATCAGTCAGGGACTTCAGTACAACCAAGGGAAGCAGAATGCTGAAGCCTTACTCTTGGGTCCTAAAACAGAAGAGAGTTGGTTGTGATGTGTTTACTGACACTCTGCATGGAAGATGCAAGTCACTCAGAGGCAACCATTGCATGCAAGTTTACACAACTCCTTTTTACTTTGTATTTGCCAGGCCAATGAAGAAGAAGAACTCTTGATGAACTATTTATTCAATCATGTTGGTATCCCAAATGCAATGAGACCTGACAACGCTAATGAGCTTACCAAAGGAGAATTCAAGAAGAGATGTGCAAGAGCACAGTGCGCCTATGGCCAGTGGAACCTCATAGCAAGGAAATATCATCGACATTGACTCAATGGCACAGCACTTATCCTGATCTCATTTTAAAAGGTTTACACATCTCAACAAGAATTCAATCTTCCCGCTGCTGGTCGTTACAATGATTGCCCCTTTGATACCACCGTCACAGGTGGTTGTTGCGAATTTGGTGTGTACCTTGGTGTGTACCTTGGTGTGTACCTTGGTGTGTTTTGGTGTGTTTATTTAAGTGGCAGGTTCTTTGAAACAGGTAAATTGGTGTGTTCAAGTGTGTTTATTTAAAGGCGCAGTGCATTTCTCTGGTAAGCTGGTTGTGGTAGTGTGTTTGTATTTAACGGCACACTTTACCTTGCAGTATAGAAAATCGTGGTAGTGTGTTTTTATTTAACGGTACACTTTACCTTGCATTTTAGCAAATCGTGGTGAAGGTTTCAATGCATTGACCAACTGAATGGCAACATGTCTCCTGCAGCAACAACAGTTTCAACACAACTGCATTGCTTAGCTTTTAAATATAAATCCAGGTGCTAAAGCCAGTTAGGGCCTCCTGAAGGGTCTCTCTGTATCAGCAGGTGGTTGCAATCACACACTACTCTGTCTGTAAATACAAGGAGATCATTGTTTGCTGTGCTCATTTTTGCTCATAGGTACAATAATGTCAGACGATCAGAGAAGACAGAGGGATGATAATCGAGGTTTACCACCAGTACCGCAAAATGCGGAAGCGTATCGAAGATGGCTACAACATCAGCATTTTTATATGAGAACTCTCGGTGAATCTTTTCTTGCTTACAGCTATAATATTGCCATGAGTCGCATGCCATCTGAAGCATTTGTTTCAACACCAGTACCGGCACCGGTGGCACCAGCACCGGCACCAGCACCGGCACCAGCACCATCACCAGCACCATCACCAGCACCATCGCCAGCACCAAACACACCAAGCCAACAAGATACTGACGATGAGGTCTACACATGGCCAGATGGAAATCACAATTTTGATTATCCAGCTAAGAGCATTCAATACCAGGGTACCCCAAAACCCATACATAGAGTCTTGTCAAGACTCAATTGAGTGCCACGTGGGACCCACGAGTGCCACGTGGGACCCACATTCTACTCGCTGACATCATTTGGTTTTGGGTTTGGTTTGGGTAAAAAGCAACCAATACCCTAAAACCCATGATCGGCCATTTATACTAAACTTAACCCTAGACGAACCAATCCTCTTTGCGAAAGATTGACCATGGGTATCTGCCGCTCCTTGTACTTGATCGGCAGCCGTAACTAAGCCGATTAACAAGGAACTGCCTGGACTATCTTGTAGAGCACCTTTGACTTGATAGGTGACCGTCTTGGTTTGGTCTCTACCGCTTCGACATTCGTTGAGTTAAGTCAATCGGCAGATCGGCAGTCGGCAGATCGGCCGATGGATCCATCGCGATTTTCTTCCACCGTGGATTACAATACTGCAACAAATTGAACAGAACAATTCACCACCTAAACTACTAATCAAGCTATGAGTTAATGATGAAAGCATCCAAAAAATGTGCAAGAGTGTGAGATTTCCGACCTCATTTTCGAGAAGTGAATTGCAGTGTACTACTATCAATTTTGAGTGCTGTGCAATTCTTGCGACGATATCTTCCGAAACCCCAAGATCGCACCTCTTCTCATTGGATTTTCATCGGATCTGTCGGTTTATTTATGGGATTTGCCCTTTGGGTTGGCTTTGGGTCCAGCGCAAATTCACCAGATTTGCGCAGCGTGCAAGCGTTGGGCAAATCACATCTGCAAAAAATGACGTCATTTGCGATGAGATTCATGTTTAGGTCACGGCTATTGGGTTGTGATTTGCGCAACCCAAAATGCGCGAGTTTTGGGGTACCCCGGTGTTGCATGCTCTAATTACTTCAAGGAAGGTCGAGGTGGCAAAACTCCCTATTGCGGATGGGCTTTGTGCCATGTTGCTACGACCGTGCCCAAGGCCACGAAAATAGCCACCAGATATTTTTATTGCCTTGGTGTTTTCAAATGTCCGCAATGCTCTTTTGTAGCTAAACCTTTAATTCCCGAGCACAAAAAATATGGAGCAACTCCCAAAACTCCAAACAGCAACTGCGTTACTCATTCAGAGTTGGAGCTCCAATGGATTCCTTGTACTGGAAAGAAGGGAGAGCCATGCAAGCTAAACGTAGTTGATTTTGGCAGGATCAAATCGGCTAACCATCTTGGTCTACATGATCATCCCAGGCCCCCAATAACGAAACCATCTCCTAATGCGATTGAAGAGCTCGCTAAATTAGTCCGAGCTAATCCAAAGGCTGGAGCGGCAAAGCTAGCAATGGGATCTAGGACTCAGTCATCAGCTAAAGAACTTAGTGAAGCATTGGTCAATGAGGATTGACTACGTTACGAGCGAAATAAGATTTTGGGCAAAGAATCCATGCCCAATACCATAGGTGCTCTTTTTGAATTTAATAAGGAGATTGGTGGTAACTTTTTTGTAGATTTTGATATTCTATCTACAGATAGCAATATAATTTCCATGCAGACTGATTACATGAGAGAAATAATAGACGAACAAGCAAGTGGACTGCAAACTGATACTGTTGAAGGCATTCTAATTGATACTAAATATGGAGGTAAAATTGATATTCATTTTACTTCCGCCTTCGATATTGCACTATGCTAAAAGCTAGTGTAAAGATCTTTCGAGTGTTTTGAGTTTGAGAGAATGAAAGTTATGAAAACTAATCAACGAGAGAGATCCACAATCAAAGGATCGTAGATCTGAACTCCCGCGGGAGACTGTAGAGTGTGATGGAGTAGGTTGCGGTAGCAATCCTACTCACTCCACGATCCAAAAACGGAATGCGTGGAAGATTCGTCTAGCATTTATCTAGTAGCGTGGAAGTACTCCACGCTGGCTAAATATCTAAGGCCGATGTTTCATCATCAACCTAGTATGACTAGATGCGGTCATGTAGAAACCCTGTCTCAATGACTATTCACGAGAGACTTCCAGTCATGATTCGAACCAAACCCTATCTAGGTATCGCATCGCGAATAAGGCTAAGAGCCGTGTATTTGCATTCGCCCCCTTGACAAGGGTCACGGAAGGCACGAAATCAGTCGGACAAGCGAAGAATCATATGAATAAAGTGCGGGCACATCTCCGGAATTGATGTAGACATGTGCTTCGCACGATGCAATCCTTCAAGGGGATCAGGCCTTGCATGGGTGTGAAATACCTTCAGTTCCAGTTCTGTTGGTAGACTGTGCCGCTACTGGCGGTAGCTTTGGTGCGTACAGTGCCATTGTATATTGACTCGGTTCTGTTGTAAGGACCTTTGGCTGACCGTATTAACGGTTCTATACTGATCGAATTCATCATAAGTATCGTTGACATGTGTTGATGATGAGGGACACGTGTCCCGTGTGTCTCTCTTATCGGTGTTTTTTCTGGATAAGTCGTGAGTAGGCGTATTCTGTTTCCCGCTTAATAGTATTTCCGGGTTTGCTTGTAAACGGATGTGGTGAAGCATGTCACGATTGACGCGCGTGAACCTGCGACGAAGTCCATGTTCATCCCGGAGAGTGTTCTCGACGTCTGCGCGGGACTCACGATCTCTGTCCATGACAACCGGTCGTGGATACTGGGTAACCAACGTCTGTTTCAGAACACTGGTTACTCCGTCTGCTGGTTTGGAGCAGCCCTTGGTAGTTCATTTGGCCAATAATTCCACTAAGTTCCTTCCTTTTGGTCGGAAGAGCGATAGTTGGACCGCATCCATTATCTTTTTAGGTTAAAGGTTGGATTCCTTCTCGGTTAATCCAATTGTCTAGATACTTCAGTTCTTCCTTTCGAGGAAGGCATTGGTAGTGTTGATTTTAAACCCCGACTTCTTGAAGTCTTTGGAAAAGGTCATCTAACTATTCAACGCGATCCGCCAGATCTACGTCAGTTAGGATGAGTTGATAATCATTGTATGCACGGACATTTTCTAAGGTATGGCATGCGTGTTTTCATCTTCTTTTGGAAGATGTCGGGACTAATACATAGGCCCATTGGCAACCTCTGGTAGACTCGATGGCGTTTCCCCCTCGGGAGTGCAATGGTACAGTTTTGCTTCGAGTTAGGTGACAGCTTGCGATGTGTGGTATTGTACCGTGTTCCGGTCTAGACTAGTAGCGCACTTGAACCGATCTAGGTGTCAAGAGCATGTTCTGTATTTTTCGGGATAGGATAAGGCTTTCGCTTGATCCTTTTGTTCGGTTCCCGGAATTCAGAGATTAATCGTACAGATCCCTCCTTCTTGAGAATGATAAAAGTTTGTGCCACCCACTCGGAACTGTTTACCTTCTTAAGTACTCCTGCCTCGCAGAAACGTTCAAACCTCGGCTTCTTAATGAGTGTGGTATGGACCCGTGGAGTAGGGGTGAGCCCTAGTATAAAAGGATTTAGCGTCGGGCTAATCGAAGTTTTCTATCTTCGTAGTCGTCCATAGTTCGCAACTCCTCTCCAAAGTATCTTCGACTGGGTCGAAGCACTGGGTTGGAAAGGCATGAGGCATTTCTTGCTTTTCCTTATTTAACTGCGGCACATCTGCCTTAATCTGCTGTTCGTTAT